CTCCAGCTGATTGGCAAGGGAGGTATCTTGGCATCATCGAGTACTCAGCCATCATCCTTTGGGTACTAGATAATGCTGATCTCGCGGCCGTAGCTCTGTCAGCTGGATCAGCAACTGCTGCAGGAGTTGGAATGGGTGCTGTTGGTGCAGTGGGCGTGGCAGCATTAGGTGTAACCGGCCCGGCAGCTGTCGCTGGATTGACTGCTGCTGCAGTAGGGGCTGCTGTTGCTGGCGGGTTAACTGCTGAAAAGGGTGTTGCGAAGGATGGAGTTACTGCTGCTGATCATTTAGGGGAAGATTTCTACAAAGTTCTGCTTCAGCAAGAACCTTTCAAATCGACTACAGTATGACAATTGCTCTATCTTGAAGCTTTTTTTTTTTGTTATGTTGATCAAGCATTGAATCCATGCACCAAGAGCAACGTAATCGACTTAATGTTTTGTTGTTTTGCTAAAACAAAGTTCAGATACACTTAAGTTAAAACCCAGTATTCAAAACCAGATGGGACTGGCATTCTGACCAAAAAGACCGTGACCTTAGTCCGGTTTCTAATTTAAAGACTGATTGAGAAAGAACTTGTTTTTTATAGTGTCAGTTTGTGATTGGGGGCCTCCTCACATTCCACAGATCTGTGTGCTATGGCCCTGACATCAATCGGGTTGGGATTCTTTGTGGTTGAGAACTAACTGATATATTTGTGCATATAGTACGTTCATATAAGTATATGAACTAATTTATGTGAATTATTTAAATGTGGTTTTTTAGCCACCGTGGGATTGTTTGAACTGGTGGGCTGGCGCCGTTTTCACGGCTGTTTTTTTGTTAATTGTCTTGTCTCGTTTTGTACATGACGGTTATGCCATCCAACCTGACATAATTCATACAGTCTTGCTTGGCTTTGTGGTATTTCAGCTGCACTAAAATTTGTTGCTAAGGTTTATTTGGTCGACCCTTTAATTTCGCATTGCATGAATATCTTCTCTTGTAGACCCTGTTAACTTTGTATCCTTTCTCCTTTTCTTGTAGGTTCGGTCAATTGTTGAGTCCTACCCATGGTCTCCTTTTGTGCCTGTTACACTTGACAGTTCAATGCTTGCCGTACTACTGTTGCTCTCCAAGTACAGGTTGAGGAATGTGCCTGTGATCGAACCTGATAAGCCAGTTATTAAGAACTTCATTACTCAGACTGGTGTTGTTAAAGGACTTCAGCAGTGTAAAGGAAGGGATTGGTTCGACTATATTTCGGCACTTCCTCTTTCAGACTTGGGGCTTCCATTCATGTCTCTTGATGAGGTTATTTGTCTCACTTCGCTGCCTCTTTAGTTAAACTCTTGTCTTGGTAGTGTAAGATTTAATCCTCTGTGCTATCCCGATTACTGCAGGCTGCAAAATCTGAAGCAGGACCTTTGAATAGGCTTTGACTCTGTTATAAGAACTGTTTAATGAGAAATTTACGATATTGTGTTATCTTCAGGTTATTACGGTTAACAGTGATGATCTAATCTTAGAAGCTTTCAAGTGCATGAAGGATAACAAAATTGGCGGTGTACCCGTAGTAGAAGGTCCCCGAAGGAAACTTGTTGGTAGTGTGAGCATAAGGGACATTCGCTTCCTGTTGCTTAGGCCTGACTTATTTTCTGATTTCAGGCACGAAGCGACTCAACCCAATGATTTATTCCCCTGTGTCTTTTTCTTCTTCTTTCAAATATGTCTCTTCACGTGTCTAATGATACTTTTGATCCATCCAGGCACCTTACCGTGTTGGATTTCATGAAGGCTCTAGGTTCCACTCTTCCTGACTCGGGGGACAATGGGCTGGTGAAGCCGCCACTCACCTGTGCACCTGATGCTTCCATGGGCAGCGTGATCGACAGCATCGGGTCGAGGATAACCCACCGGATATACGTGGTGGATGGCGACTTTGAGGTGGTCGGTGTTGTGACACTGCGAGATGTGATCTCTTGCTTCATCCACGAGCCCCCTGGCTTCTGCGACAGTTATCTTGCTTCAGCGATGGAGAAGCTCGAGGACAAGGGCGATGCCGATTCCTCCGTTGAGAACAGCTGAGCCCTCCGTTGAGAACAGCTGAGCTCTCGGGAGCGCAAGACGGTGGAAATAACAGACAGGGTTAGTGAGCAAGTCTTGTAGTTGGGCTGATTCGTTCATGTTGTGGTGTTGATACAGTAAATTCTGTGTGGGGTGACAACACATTTCAGTGCCTCTGTTGGTGTCAACTGTGCGTTGCTGAGTTGGCTGATCCGCACCTGTTTCCTGATGCAAACACTGCAGTGGCGATTCTGTGATGTGTAAAAGGGTTAACGAACCAATGATTACCCAATCTCAGTCGTCATGTGTACCTCTGTATCCTCCTCGATCAATCGAGTAGTCTGATGTATGGCAGTTGTTTAAGCCTTGCAGGCGTGCGCAGGTTTTCTGTTTTATCCTTGAGCTAGCAATATAATGTTTTTGCTACTTACTCCCTTGGATCAATGTTATTTGTTGCTCACTTAGTGCGACTATAGCACAAGATTGTACTAATTGAGCGACAAATAATGGATCAGACTACTAAGTTAGGTACAGAAGAATTCATGGCCAACAACGTTTTCTTACATGACATGGAGTCTAGATCCAAAAGTAACTAAACACTAATATACATAGAAAAAGTTCCACCAACAGTGCCCTTTGCCCACTGCGCTGAACACCAGCGTGTACATCGAGGACGGAGATCAGCTATGGCGCAACTCTGGCACGATCTTCTCATTCACGAACAAATGGCACCACACGACCCCAAGACTCTGCGGATACAGTTCTTCACGTGTTAAGATTTGGAAAGCTAGAAGCAATTCAAGCACCAGCATCGTCCATTCTCTAAGATCTGCTGAGTGAAAAAAGAGGCAAACATCTCAAGGAAATAGTAGTAGTATAGTACTCACAACATCATGAGCCCGAGCATGACGCAAGTGGTCACCAAGATGTCCGAGTAGTCGAACACCGCCGGCGCTCCCGGAACCAGGACGGCGTCGATGAGGTAGACGGTGAGCCGGTAGTTGTAGACGACGGTGCCGGTGACCCTGGCCTCGACCGGCATCGTGAACGATGCCGGCGACGAGGAGAGCTCCATGGCGCCTCCGTAGTACCAGATGGTGACCATGCCGTACCCCCAGCGGCCGCCGTCGAGCGTCTGCACCTCAATATGCCTGTGGCCGTGGGTCAGCAAGCGCTCCACGTCGGCGGAGCGCGCCGCCAGCCCGTGGTGGAGAAGGAGTTGCTGAAGCGCGGGGCGAACGCCGCGACCGCGCCGTCGTCCGGGCAGAACACGGTGAGCCCCGCGTAGCTCCGCTCGCGGAGCACCTGGCCCACGCCGGCCGTGGCGGCGACGAGGCCGGCGAAGGCGCCGCACCCGCTCTTGGACATGATCTGCTCGATCGCCAAGCCCCCCGGCGGCGTCGCCTCGGGCGGTTGTGCCTCGGCGCAGGGGACGAGCATGAGGAGGAGCAGGATGGCTCCGGCGAACTGCATTGTGCTTGATTTCTCTCGGCTGGTGGTATTTCTTTACCCTGAGAAGCGAGAATAATGGAGGTATGGTGGACAGGGTTTCTCTCGGCTGGTGTTTTGGCTTGGCCTAGTTCTTTCGGGGGCTCAGGCCAGGGCAGGAGGCTGGGGGAAGAAGGGTTTTTGGCTGATCCACGGCCGCGGGCAAATCGAGGTGCGGACGCCGCCCATGTGCAACGCCCCGGTCGCCATTTTCTCCTTGCTGGTGGTATGGCAAGAAATGGTGGGCTTTATGGCGCCGTGACAGAAGCTGTGGCTATGGCTGACTGAGGAAAGTGTACACCCATGGCCATGGATGGTGCCAACTTTGCAAGGGCGGAGCGCGGTGACTTATCAGGGCAAGCCTTGGGACTTTTCCACGAAGCATCGTGTGCGGTGAAATTTGACACGTCCTGGTATGTTGCACACGTGAGCTACAGTAGGCTTCACTTTGCGCAATGATATTGAGGAAATCTGCCCCCTACACGTTCCCAGACAGCGCCGACTCGTCCCTCAAATGTCCTCATTTGCAATCACAAGTTTGATATCCGAAACCCCGTATCCATGCAAATACACACACGTCGATCATTACACGTACACACAACTTCGATAGCAACTGAAACGAGCAACCCACGTACGGGGCGGTTCCTCATTCTGTTGCGGAAGGGCAAAAAGGAGGCTACCCAATTCCGCCAGGGTTAGTGAGCAAGTCTTGTAGCTGGACCGATTCGTTCAGGTTGCGGTGTTGATGCAGTAAATTATGTGTGGGGGTGACAAGGCAATTCAGTGCTCTGTTAGCGTGCTTTAGTCTGTCAGCTGTGTGTTCCTGAGTTCGCTGATCCGCACCTGTTTCCTGGTGCAAACACTGCAGTGGCGATTCTGCGACGTGTAGAAACGTTAACGTACCGAAGGTTGCCTAATCTCAGTCATGTGTACCTCTGTATCCTCCTCGATCAATCAATCGAGTAGTCTGATGTATGGCACTTGTTTAAGATTGCAGGCGTGCGCAGGTTTTCTTTTTTATCCTTGAGCTAGCAATACAATCTTTCTACTAAGTAATGTCTGAGGTACAGAAGAATTCATGGCCAGCAACATTTTCTTGCATCACTCACATGAAGTCTAGTTCCTAAAGTAACTAAACACTTGTATACTCCTTCTGTAAAGAAATATAACAGTGTTTAGATCACTAAAGGAGTACATAGAAAAAGTTGCTCGCAAGAACACATATATACATAGACAGAGAAGACGCAAGCACAGGAGATGGTAGTGTTTAGACAAGTCACAGACATACACCGTGCAAAACGACGGCCATGGGATACATAAACTTAACGTGCCACCAGTCGGTACATCAGGGACGGAGATCTGACCGTGAAGGAGGCTTGCAGCAGGACTACGGGAGAGGGGACGCACGGAAGCGATCACGAACTAAGGTTCTTGTCGCCCTATGGCGCAACTTCGGTACGATCTTCTCATGCACGAATGACAGAAAGAACACACGACCCCAAGACTCTGCGGACGAGAGATGGATACAGTTAACGTGTAGAATTAAGATTTGGAAAGATAGAAGCAATTCAAGCTGAATACGAAGGGAGGCAAACAGCTCAAGGAAATAGTAGTATACTCACAAGGTGACGATCCCGAGCAAGAAGCAAACGGTCACCAGGCTGTCCGAGTAGTCGAACACCGCCGGCGCTCCCGGAACCAGCACGGCGTCGATGAGGTAGAGAGTGAGGCGGTCGTTGTAGACGACCGTGTTGGTGACCCTGGCCTCGTCCGGCATCGTGAACGACGGCGGCGACGAAGAGAGCCTCATGGTGCCTCCGCAGTCGCAGATGGTGAGCATGCCGTAGCCCCAGCGGCCCCGATCGAGCGTCCGCACCTCGATTTCCCCGCCGAGGCGGGTCAACAAGGAGAGCTCCACCTCGGAGGAGCGTACCGCCAGTCCGTGGTACAGAAGAAGCGAGGCCTGGCGGTCGGCGGTGAGGTTGCTGAACCGCGGGGTGAACGCCGCGACAGCGCCGTCGTCCGGGCAGAACACGGTGAGCCCCGCGTCGCTCTGCTCGCGGAGCACCTGGCCCACGCCGGCCGTGGCGGCGACGAGGCCGGCGAAGGCGCCGCACCCGTTCTTGGACAGGATCTGCCCGATCGCCATGCCCCGCGGCGGCGTCGCCTCGGGCGGTTGTCCCTCGGCACAGGGGACGAGCAGCAGGAGGAGCAGGATGGTGGTGCAGGGGGCGACGGCTCCGGCGAACGGCATTGTGCTTGATTCCCCTGCTCGCCCAAGCTAGCTGGAAGAGTTTCTTTACCCTGAGATTCTGAGAAGCGAGAATAATGGAGGTATGGTGGATAGGGTTTCTCTCGACTGGTGTTTTGGTCTTCGGCTTTCATGCCGTGTTCCGGTGGTTCTGTCTTGATTGCAGTTCTGTTTCTGGCCCTGCCCATTTTCTCTTTGCTGGTACTAGTAGTATGGCAAGAAACGAAAATGATACACTTACGGCAAGTTTCTACGGATTGAAGTTACGGAAAGCTCTCCCACCAATCATTCCCCCTCGTGATTTGCACCGTTGGGCCGCTCTCCCCTCTATTCTCCAACCATAATTTGCCACATCCGCCTTTATGCCGTTTGTGACAGAAGCTGTGGCTATGGCCGAGGAAAGTGTACACCGATGGATGGCGGTAATTTTGCAAGGACGGAGCGGGATAACCTATATATCAAGCCTTGGGGCCTTCCACGAAGATACGTGCGCGGTGAAATTTGACACGTCCTGCTAGCTGGACACGTGAGTTACGATGGTTTGCACTTTGAACATTGGTATTTAGCGCTTGCGGTAAGTTGATCCAAGCAGACATAATGAATTTCGGTTTGAACCAGAGTTAACATGTTCTAACAGCATCTACACCTGGACTGAGAAAATCTGCCCCCTAGAAGTTCGCGGACAGCGCCAACCCATCGCTTAAATGTCCTCATTTGCAACCACAACTTTTACATTCGAAACCCCCATATTCATGCAAACACTTACACGTACACACAACTTCTATAGTAACTGAAACGAGCAACCCACGCACGAAGCGGTTCCTCGTTCTATTGCGGAAGGGCAAAAAGGAGGCTACCCAATTCCGCCAGTCCACCGCTGGCCAGACCGGTGGTTCCCTCCCTCTCCGTCTGCTACTCTGACGGCAGGAGAGCGAGGGTACCCTGGAACTGGGGGCCCGGCGTGTAGATACTAGGTTAGTGGTCTTGGCGGCGGCGTTGAGTTGGGGATGACGGTGCCCGTTTAAAATAAGTGTGTCGGCGTTCGATCCCCTTCCCGACGAAGCTTTGGGCAGAGTTGGCGAGTAGATGTGTCACCGGGGCAACATTACGCAACATGTCGTCAGTTGCCAAAGTGTCACCGGTTCCCGCATCATTGCAGCCCCACGAACAATACCTCACGGAAGTTGAAGCACTCCTAATGTCCTCTCCACAACTTTCCTACCACTTACATGCATTTGTGCAAAAAGACATTGTTTTCTACCTCGGGGGATTTGAATACAATCTTCAAAAATGTCGTCCACTAAGGATAGATACCATCGACAAGGGGTTGTAACCCATTGTTACTGTTGCTAGATTATATATCAAACATGGTGTTTCGGTGATAATTTTAGAATTGGTATCCATGCTAGCTTAGTTCTCAAGCGTGGTGTTGCGGGTAGGTTTCTTTTTCAAATTTCTTGAATGGACTGGAGGAACACATTGAGAGAAATTCATTTCTCTCCAACAATTCTAGTGCTAGCTAGAAGTAAGATGAAGCTAGTAACTTTTTCATGCGGTAGCTAGTAAGATGACGGCTAGAAACTGAATCTACACTCTTCCTATTCTCTTCGCATGGGAGTTGAGTGTAGAAAAAAGGGACAACCAATGCTTAATTAACCATGCTTATTCATATTATTCTACTCATCATAACAAGTGAAACAAGGTACAAACATTGATCTTCTAGTTAGTTTTTTCTTCTTGTTTCTTATTTTCTGCTAATCGCAGATATAATTCCAACTGAAGTGCTACTTACAGTTGTTGTTTTTCATTTCATTTCCAAAGCAGGGTGTTGATTTTGATCCACTTCAATCATTCTTCAATCTGATCAATCATTCACGGAGGATCAGAAAAGTGTTATCAAACAAATGGGTTTTGGTCATTTGTTGGAATGGGCTTATTTTTTTGCCTACAGACATTTACCACTGGATTGCATTCCAATGTGATACATCTACAAGAACACAAACTCTTGAGAATGGGTTTTCTGTCACTACTACAACCAACACCATTCACACCATGTTAGAAATTCCTATTGGAAATAGGAAAATAGAGAACACTTGTTCTCAAGAAAACAACAATTTAATTCACCAATTAGTTAGTTGGGAAGGCTATATTCCTTCTAACGAAAATTTGTGTTCGCTCATAAAACTAGATGTGCCTCTAGAGCTATTCTCAAAGGTATTCTTTGTTGTTGCCATGGCTTCCTTTCTTTGCCTTTCTACATATTGTTTGCCAAGGACAAATTATTACAATGGTGTCTTTCTACTAGGCTCTTTATCCGATACCAACCTTTGTTTGTTCTTGATGTCTTGCTATTGAAATAGAAAATTTCATATTAGCATTAACACAAAATAGTGAAATCATTGCTGGTGGTTGTAGTTTTCTTCTGGTGGTATGTGATGTCCTGACTTATTAGGGATGATAGACTACTCATATCAATAAGGAATTCATTCTTTTCCGGGAGCCCATTTGGACAGAACTCCAAAGTTAAGCGTGCTCAGCTTGGAGTAGTGTCAGGATGGGTGACGACCGGGAAGTTGCTCCCGGGTGCGCATGAGTGAGGACAAAGTGCGCAGAAAAAGACTAGTATTGATCTGTGGGGCTAGTCTAGATCCCGCCAGGAGTAACGGCCACCGGCGGGTGTGTCCGGGGCGTTACATGGTAGGCTCTATTTTAGTGTATTTCATCTCTCGTCTTGAAAGAGCACACGTAATTTATATTTATTACGTCACACATAGTGGCATATTTTAGTTTTTTCCAAACCTCATATTTTGAATTTATGATAACTTATGAGTTCAGTCTTGGCAAAAAAATCGAGGATCAGTGTTTGGTATACCAACATAATCAAATCATACACTCTGCTTGACTCTCAACCTACTTCAAACAACACATTTGGGAGGTTGGCTATAAGTATTATTGTTCCTCAATTTTTAGAAGCTTTATTTTTCTTATCTTTGTGATTTCACTGCTTACTAATTCCCTATCAACTCAAATAGTTAAAACACATTTCCGCAACCCTTTTTTGCAGGATATCACTTGCAAGATGGGGATAAGTACACTATACTAACCAACATCAAGAAATACATTCATGAAAAAAAATGTCAATTGAGTATTTTGTTGAGTTACCCTTCTTCCAGTTGATTGGTTGCTACTTTACTGTTTTGTTTAAATTTTTTGTTGCATATTACTTAACTCTATTGTCTGTTAATTTAAATATATTTTTCTGTAGCCAACATGCCAAACTCAACATGCAATTATTGTCTCAAAGTTTCTTCCAAAGAATAGTTGAGAATTCTATCCCAATGGTGAAAGCATACATAGATGATCTTTTGTTGGTAGTTTCAACCAAAAAATCTTTGTCAAACAGTTGGGAAACATGTGTTTACCAAAAAGCACATCGGCTTCTGCTTCCATAGATCTTTCAAGCATATTTCGGAATTTCTGCTTAGAAATTGCAGTGCAATCTATTGTCCAAGAACCAACTAACCAGCCTCTCATTAAAGAAGTACTAACGCAGATGGTAAACAAATTTACAATAAGCTAGGATGAGCGTTTACATATGCTTCAACCATCTGAAAGCATAGATCATCCTCTAGGTGTGAAGCTGATAGAAATCCCTGTTGGAGAAAACACTACAGTTGGCAACCTTCAAGTATACAAGTACATTGGCAAAATTGGTATAATAGAACGCACAACTTTCTTGTTATTCTTTAGTTGAACTAAATTTTTATATCTGGTTCAACAAAACTTTTTGATTGTTCTCAAAAGAAGCAAGCAACAAGCTTTTACTTCTGCAGAAATTCTCACAGACAAAATTCAACTTCGAAACTCCCATTATTTCTCCCTATGGTATGGACTTGTACTCCCATTATGTTGTTTTTCAACTTCAATCTAGTATTCGGTTATTGGTCAAGCTCTTAACTTATCATAGAAGGTTAGTAGCATAGGCTTATTGGACGACATTTGTAGGAACATATCTTGAGTTACAACAAAATAGTGCAAGTTGTCAAGCCCAACTAACAAACACAAGCGTGAGTAATATAGACAACTCAACTGGGAAAAGCAACAAGTCTCCATTCTACACAAGCAATAAGTGGGGCCTTTCTCTCAATGAGCCCTCTTTGGTCATAATCGAACCGTCCTCTAGTGGACACAATATGTGAAGAACCTTTTGATATTTCCAAAGATTTCTTCCAAACACAAATCTCAGAATTTCTTCAAACAACCAACAAAAATTGAGTATCCAGAAACCAAGTTCTTCACATCAAAGTCCTATGGACAACATATCCCTACCATCTGGTTCTACTAGTATCCAACAATTACCAGTAGTACAATGGGCTTCTCCTCTTTCCGACACAATTGTTCTTGAGAAACTTGACCAATTTGGAAAAAATGTCAGTAATAATACAAATGCAATCAATAAAAGCGCTAAAGGAAGTTTCAAATTAGACATATCTTTTTTTAACACAAGGTATTCTAGTTCGACACAAATTTTCTTCTCTACCTCAATCGAGAATGAGTTGTATAATATGGGTTTCATTTATGGGCAAACTTGAATAAAGTTACTCTCTTTGTTATAACAGATCTTTCAACTCTAACTTCCTCATTTTCTGCATTTACATAGTTTCAAATTGAAGGAAATATACCCTAGAGGCAATAATAAAGTTATTATTTATTTCCTTATATCATGATAAATGTTTATTATTCATGCTAGAATTGTATTAACCGGAAACATAATACTTGTGTGAATACATAGACAAACAGAGTGTCACTAGTATGCCTCTACTTGACTAGCTCGTTGATCAAAGATGGTTATGTTTCCTAACCATAGACATGAGTTGTCATTTGATTAACGGGATCACATCATTAGGAGAATGATGTGATTGACTTGACCCATTCCGTTAGCTTAGCACTTGATCATTTAGTATGTTGCTATTTCTTTCTTCATGACTTATACATTTCCTATG